TCCCTCCTTGCCTCCTTCCTTGATTCATTCCATCCTTTTCCTCTCTTAGTCCCTTTCTTTCCTTTCTCTTCTCATTTATTATATCCTACCTTTTTATTCTACTCCCTGTTTTCTCTCTTTCATCTTTCCCTTTTCCCCACTCGTTTAATTCCTTCCTTCATTTGACTGTTTGTTCCTTCCTTTCCAAACTTTCTGTGCCACTTTTCTTTCCCTTTTACTGTGTCCCAACTCCCTCTCTCCTTCCTTCCTACATTTTTTCCTGCCCAGTCTCCCTTGTTTCTTTAAGAATGTCCATCTTTCTCCCTTTTGTTTCTTTTTGGTTACTTCCTGTGCAATAAATAGAAAGTCAAGTTTGGTATTTTATAATTTTAACAGGATTTTAGTGACTAAACTCTGGAAACTAGTTGTAAAAAGTCTGGAATAAGGAACTGTATCAGTTAGAGTAAACCTGACTGCATCACATACATGATCATTAGACGCTTTGTTCGGTGTTATTGAGCTGGAAGTTTTCTCTAAAAAGACTCGACACTACTTAAACAAGTTGACTTGAGGTCATTGTGCATCCATGATCATGTTTGCTCTTCCAGTCATTATTCATGTCTGCTGTTATATCAGTGCATATGTGTGTTTTTAACCTAAACAAAACACACATTAAAGATGGTTTAGCAGTCCTGTCAGCTCCACCTGTATGGTTGCACATGTATTCTCTCCTGGGTGGCCAGGAGCTGGTTTAGCATATGGATTAGCCAGATAATAAGATGCGTGACCACATTGACTCGTTGTAGATGGTTACAACATTAGAGCAAATGAGCAGCTCCACTCCAAGAAGCAGACGAAGGTCACATGGGGAACTAAAACTCTATCTCTTCGATTTAATGATCCAGAATATAACAACCCACCTTTGACCAATTCCACAGGAATGGATTTTAAAGTGAAGGATCTAAAGACGACATTAACCTTTTACGCCTCATTCTTTTAAAAAATTAAAGATGCGTAATTCCTAAGATTCCGTTTTCACATACAGTAGCTGAAAGGTCAGTTACCTTAATAGCTTTAATATTTAAAAGACTTTTCACTTTGGATGAACAAGACAACAGACAAGAAGGAGATTCCAGTTTCTTTATTTAAAGATTAATGTAAGTTTTTTTTTTTTATCTTAATGCCTTTTAAAAAGCTAAATCCTTTAACAGAGGCGCTTGGTTTCTTGTGTAAAAGAGGTGCAGCTCACATCTGCTCCGACATGTTTGTGAGAAGTCCTGAAGGCCACATATTCCAGCCCGTCTTTCTTTTGATAAAGCTCCGGGATATCATGTTTGTCGAGAAGAATTACTTCTTTATCTCTTCGCACTAAGATAGGATTGTGTTCAGAAGGAGAATTCATTGGAAAAAAAAGGTGTCTGTGCTGCCAGGCTAAATGTCATCTGATTTGGAAACAGCCGGGTCTCCTTTAACTGAGGAGATACTTTCAGCTCGAACATCTGTTTATGAATTTTTGACCATAACTATTTATGTCTTTTGTTTGCATTCAATGAAATGAAGAAGGTGCTTTTAACAAGCCTGCATTAGAGCCAAAAGAATTGGCTAACTGAGACACCGGACAGATTTTTTTTTTCTTTTGTCCTGTCTGGCCTCATTTAGGACTGAATGCAAATATCCCAGCTGGCTGGTTTTGGATCAGAGGTTAAACAGCTGAAAGCTGAGGTCAGAGCTGTTACATCCAAGCTGAGTGAGCCATTTAAATGCATTGCCTGCTTGGACACAAAGGCCAGGGACACACACGATAAGAAGAGTCTCCAACACCATTGTGGCTAATAAATGACTTCCATGTCTGCCTGAAGTGCTGCAGACCTCTGCTATCTCCGGTTGTTTATTCACGCAAGTGAAAACATGTTACTCCCATATTCAAGATTATCCACAGAGAAAAAAACCAAAAAAAAAAAAACCTCTGCAGAGCAATTATGCATCCTCCCATGAAGCGTCTTAAAACGTGTCTAATTGTTGATGTGCTCATCTGACTCTGTGCACACATGTGATATTGTAGCCCTGAAAACCCCCAACCAAAAACAGATGTGAGACGTAACTCAATTTCCCGCTGCCAGATCAATTTATGAGATTCACAGCAAAGAGGCAGAATCCGTCCTGTTCAGTGTAAAAACAAATGAACGCCAAATGTAATTTGGTCAGATGGTTGTACATCAAAATCAAGGCTGTTATGTTTATAGGTTGAAAAAATAGACTTCTGCCATCTGTTCTGAGCATGCTGTGATTGTGCAGAGGTACACAATAAAATTTGTGAGTGAGAAGAATCAATTCAAAATAAAAAAACCTGTCATTTGTGTACCATTTTAAGCAGGACTGGTTTTGATTTCCTTTGGAATTAAAGATGGGAGGAGCCTATTGTGGTTTAAAACCGAATTGAAAAGTTTGTTTTTTAGATTTTTCTGCAATATATTGTTTGGTGTACTGTTTTATAGGAAATCTAAAAGGCTTTTTTTTTTCTTTATTTTATTTGCACATTGAAGTCCATTTAGTTCACCTAAAATTGTAATTTGTAGACATGTTTTATCCACCTGAGCCTTGGACCTGTGCAGCTCCTCCAGATTTACCACCATTATCTTGCCTGCTTGTGTGCCTGGTTAGTAAATTCATTTGGAATGCTTTAGGGTTGAGACAATTAATTACAATTAATTGATTATTGAAATAATCAACTTATTTAGTAATCGATTAATCGTTAACGGGAGGATAGAGACCGTAAAATATGCCTTTAGTTGACAGAGCGACACACTTAGAGCAGGAATTATATCAAAATTGTAAAAAAATATATAAACATTTTTCATTTAAGATTAAAAAAATATTTTGTCAGTCAATATGCTCTATCAAGAACTCCTCAAGTGGAAAAGTTTTAGTTTCACCTGGTTTGATGTCTTACAAATCTACTATAACAGATTTCCCACGGGTCCTTAAAAAGTCTTAAAGGCATTGAATTCTTCAAAATAAAACTAAGGCCTTAATTGGTATTAAAATGTCTTAAATCAGTCTTTCGTAGGTCTTAATTTTTCAAACATCATAAATAGGATTTTTTTTAGTACGATTTATTTTTGTAATTTAAATAAAACTTTAAATTTGCAATTTATAATTTTTTTTATAAAAAAAAAAAAAAAAAGGCTCTCCATTAGTGGTTCCGTCCCAATAGCGGAACCAATAAAAGCGTTGTTGCGGCTGGGATATTTTGGGAGATGCACCATTAACTTTTTGTCTGGAAAATATGAGCAAGTGTAAATGTAACCAAAATTGTCTCCAGCCAAGAGTTTTCTCCATGGCTAAAACCAGGGAACATACATGAGGCTCAGTGGATTTAGTGCAAGAAGTCATTCAAGCTCAGAACGATGGGAATTAAGGCAGTGGAGTCGCACAAGCAAAGCACGAAACACAAAGCGTCAAATATAAACATAGCTGCAAAAAAGACTTCGCACTGGTTATGTTGTGGCTTTAAAACTGATTTTTTTTGTTCCCTGCTAAAACAAAGTTTATGAATTCAGTAAAATAATTGTTAAAATATATCTGTCATTTGTAGCTTTCTTCCTATATGGAAAGTTTTTAAAATTTTGAAACATTGGTGCAATGGTTTATATTAAAATAAACCTTTGGGTCCCAAGCTGGTTTTTCTTGTGTTTCTTGTGAATTTGGTCTTAAATTTTTATTTCAAGTGGCATTAAAAAGTCTTAAAAAGTCTTGAATTTAACTTGCCTTATGCTGTAGGAACCCTGTATAAGGAACCTTTTGCTATCTGATTATTAATTGATTAATCAGAAGAAAAAAAAAATCGACACATTAATCGATTCGCAAAATAATCATTAGTTGAAGCCCTAGTGCCCGGTTAATTGATGATAAATTGACAAGTAGGAAAGGGGCAGGACATTATAAGATGTATCTTCTACCTGCTCCTTTTCGAACAGAAAATATAAAATTTGCATGTCACATGGGCAAAATAATTTGTTTTATATTTTCATTCTTAAGTTTGTTTCATTCAAATTGTTTCTTTCTTGATTGTTTTTACTGTCTGTTCGAAATAAATAAATAAATAAAATAGTGTGCTTCCAGCTGAATGCCCCCCCTTTTCCATATTCAGATAAAGGACTGAGTGGAGCTCTGTGATCTTCAGAGCTTTGGATATTGTTTCATAACTCAACCGTTCTGTAATCTTCCCCACAGCTGATGTATCTGTTGTGTTCCTTCGTCTCCCTGATGCAGTTTAAAAATCGTCATGACTGGCAAAAAAAAGTCATGACGATTTTTATAAATGATTATATTTGCCTCTTTATATTACTTCTGCCTCCCCTTGATGTTCTACTTTGCGTTGCTCTATAATTTAAAAATCCTATTAAAACACGTTGATGTTCGTGGTTGTCATGTAAGAAAAGAGAAATAAAAGCGGTATGAAAACTCTGCCAAACACTGCAGGGCTGCATCTATATTTGTATCTTAGTGCTTGGCGGCTTCCCCAACGTTTACTATCTCTGCTGCCTACAGAGTCACACGGCCGAACACACGGCTGAAGGGCAGATTAAGGGAATACTGTACCAACAGCGTTTTCTGCAGAGCAGGGAATTCCTTCCCAGATATACGGCATGTGTGCAGCAATGACCATATGAAAGTCACAACATTAACTTGAGTCTGTGTTGTTTGGTTAAACAATTAGAAAATTAAGCCTTTTTAGCTGTAAGCCATTTACTTGAAAATCTACCCTCGGTTTTCATTGACAGAATAACCTTTTCGCCTCTTTCCTGTGATGAACTCCTGAGTTGTCACTGGCTCTGCACCTGCATGCATCAATGGCCACTTGGATTTGTTAGCGCTGCGGCTATCTGCAGCATTTAGCAGACTACTTTAACACAGAGCGCCTCCGGGCCGAACGCTCTCCATGAATTCTCCTACTGCTTATTCTGCTTTAGATGATGCAGATATTTGGCTGTAACAGACCGTTTGTTTTCTCTTTGCAGATTTCGCTGAGGCGTTTGATGGAATGACAGCTCAAATATAGAGGAACGGTTCTGGAGCGAATACGGTTGACAGCCAAGGTGAGAAGTGTTTTTATTGTCTTGGATTATGATCAAGGCTAAAGTTGCTGCTGAACTGATTGATGGAAGTGAACATAAATCAACGCAAGGTGGGAGTTTTAATGATAGTTTAACAAAGGGGACTGATGTAAAGGTTAGATCTGTTGTTTGCAGATGTTTATTAAAAACTTTCAATCCGCTGCAGGGCTATATTTCTGAGAGCTTCATTTATCTTTCTATTTTGTTAAAAAAATGCTTGAAAAACAACAGCCAAAAGACAAAAAAGATTGTTATAAAATCAACGTACAGTTGTGGTAAAACAAAAGTATGGTCTCTGTTTACATGATATATTATTCCTTAATTTACCCTTTCAAACATATCGGGAATTACCTACCAGTGGTGCAACAATTCAACAGTAGTACCTGAGTGAAAGTATTGATACTCATAGTCAAATTTTACTCCACTATGAGTAAAAGTTACTCATAGTGGAGTCAATAATTTACTCAAGTTAAAGTACTGAAGTACTCATTTTTCCAAGTATTCAAAAGTACATGGATTAAAAAATTCTTAAGTATTCAATAATATCAGTACATGTCTGTATATTTAAAAAAAAAAAACTGTATACCACCGCATGTATAAATGCATTTAACCACTGCTAGAAAAAATCAGAAATTTTGCATAAAAAAGGCACAAAAAATAAGGACAGCTATTTTGATTAATCCAGTTTAAAGTCAGTTTATTTATATGGCGCAATTTCACAACACATGTCATCTCAGGTTACTTTACGGAGACAATTCAACCAGATCATAAAGTCAGATTGATTCAAATTTTTCTATCTAAGGAAAACCAGCTGATTGCATTGACTCATTGACTCGAATACAATCCCTCACACTAAGCATGCTTGTAGCGACAGTGGAGAGGAAAAACTCCCTTTTAACAGGAAGAAACCTCCAGCAGAATCAGGCTAAGTGTGAGCGGCCATCTGCCGAGGCCGACTGGGGTTCAAGGAGACTGAGGCAGACATAAGCCTCATTTACGCTACCCTTTAAAAACCGATCTGTGTTCGGACCAAGTTTGGATCAGTTAATCTTGCCGAGCTTGGTTCCTTACGACTGTATTCACATCACGCTAGCACGTTTCCTTGCATCCTAGTGAACGATCTACAGTGCTATTGCTCTCTAGTAAGAAACTTTGATTATGTTTTTTTGTGTCCAACATCACCTGGATTAGCCTGACGTAGTCCGACTCAATTCTAGTCAGAATATGAGTCTGATACTGCTCCATAGAGCTGTGATTATGGGGCGTGTTTCGAACGAACAAGGAAAAAAAATGCCTCTGCACTCAA